CAAAAAATCCTTTTTTGCCTGTAAAGGCCATTTATTAATGCTCTGTGCACAGTGGCTGTTTGTCTTCTATGAAGTTAGCTACCCAGTAATTTCTGAATTTTAATTTAAATAAACAAAGAGCAGTTATGTCTATTTACTCTTCTGTATTGCATTACAGTTGTATGTATTCTGGGTCAGGATGTTACATCAAGGTGATGAAACAATAGAGAATTTAAAGGAGATGTAGTTAGATGAATATGGTTCTTGGGATAGGGTTTTGTAACAAATTATCTTAACATTAGTGTACATAACTATCTGAATGAAGTTGTGATATTTTTCTTACAACCTCACGTTTGTATACAAATTGGAATACTAACTTATACTCACTAGCTAAAGTGGAGCCTAGAGTCTAACCTCTAGGCTCTGACCTGTAACTCCTTTTCATCCAGTGGTCGTAACTGATGCCAGTTTTTCACTGGGTTGTCCTTAATTCGGCCCTCTTGCCTCACTAGCACCTGAATTTTCTTCTTCTTGAAACAAGTAATCTGACCACCACAAGACATTTTCTTTCTGCTTCCTGTACTATCATGATGTTGCGGCATCATCAGTTGATAGCAGATTCCTTCTTTATCCTTATCGTTGCTACCTACCCACGGCTTGATTATCTGTATATGTAGTGCTGCAGATGTTCTCTATGGGCTTCTTGCTTCAGTCTCATCACTCCCAAATTTTACATTGCATGAGATACGTTGTGTTCAAAATAAATTCTCTGTAGCTCCCTGCATCTGTAATCTGTTAAAATGCTGTGTTTTTTCATCTTTTTATGCTCTTATATGGGTTTCATTCTGGTTATGGCACATCAGTGCTTGTATGGCAGCATCCAGTACTGCAATTACAGTTTACAGTGAAAGTGGTTTTGGCTATGGTGGTTCTGGCAATTCCTGTACAGAAGTATATTGCAGTATGCAGAGGAGACCTACTCTTCGGTGCTGCAAAGGTATATTTTGTAAGTGGCAGTAATAAAGAAATATGGAAGGGGGATTTCTATTCTTGTTTTGGAGTGATTGGATGCAATGAATAGCAAGAAAATAACCTCTTTGCATTTGCATGCAAGTACTTTTAGTCTTGAGAATGTATAGTTCTGAATTCAGCTAGGAAAAACCAATAGTTAATGTCATGACATTCTTCCTGCTTCCTCTTTTGCAAGATAAGTCTTAATTGTAGATATCCATTTTTCTAGTGTGTAGTTCTAAAACATTATTTTAAAATTGTGGCACCTGGGGGTTTTGATTTGGTTTTGAGTTTGCTAAGTCTTGTGCAAAATGGATAAATGCAAACTTCTGAACATGCTTATTTTCGTTCTTGAGTAAGTAACTTATAAAATCAGCACAGAAGAGCTGTTATGAGCAGCACATGTTCCCAACCTGGAAGAGAAAGACTGGTTTGCCAGCCTTTCCCTTCTGACTGATAGTGCTGCAGATTCTCTGTGCTTTCATGACAGTACATGCTTTGTTAGTGGCAAGAATACCCTTAGAGACCATAGTATAAATTATGGAAGCTGTGTTTTAAAGGAAAACTTGAAATGAATCTAAGAATTTCCATTTTTTTTTCTCTAGCTTTCTTGCATAAGCAAATACTGCAGGCTCCTAATCTATCTGGAAGAAAAGCTAAAATGAATAGAAATGCTGATTTAGGATATCAGGCAAAGCATGTCTGCTAAAATGTTATGGCGTTTCAGTCACAATGGGTACAAAGCACAGTTTACAGATTGCAGAACAAACAACCTCTGTTAGGCCTTACATTGACCATAGATTAACAATTTATGTCGCCAAAGCATGAAAATCAGTCTTGAGTAAATGCTTAAGGGTGTAGAGTACACAGGGAGCAATCACTGGAGAGACACAGACACCAATATCAAAGACAAGGATAAAGGACTGTGAAGCTATGGAACAGGATGCATTGGGAATCCACAATACAAGGAAGCAACTGGGAAGAAAACAGTATACAGATAATGGTAGCTAGCTTGGGTTTTAGTGAGATCTGGGGACAAGAAAGATTGGACAGGCTAGAGGAGAGAGGTGTTGTTTTAAACATGTATAATTTCACACCTTGATACCATGCTAGGTGGTTAGATTTTAAATTAGTAAGTGTCTAGTACCTATTGAGTTTCCTCCTACGAACTCTTTTGTTTAGAATACCTTCCTGGGTTTTTTTTGGGTGAGGTTTTTTTGGTTTTTTTTTTTTTTTTTTTTTTTTTTTTTTTTTTTTTTTTTTTTTTTTTTTTTTTTTTTTTTTTTTTTTTTTTTTTTTTAAGTTGGCTTTTTTTCAGCATAGTAAGAACCATAGGCAGAAAATTAATTTATCTGTGTAACTTTCTGACTATGTTCTATGTTATGGCATTTCAAGTTTCTTTTTAACATAAAAATTGCAGTCCACTTAGTAAGTAAAATGGATTACTTAAGGTAACTGTGACTAGTCAGACAACTGAAATCCTTGCCAGAGCTATTCTAGAGACTTTTAAAAATCCTATTAAAAGATTTTGTATGCAGATGGTAGAGAGAGGATAAAAAAAAAAAAAACAACAAAGCACACTCTGCAATGCATTTTGCTGCTCCCTCTTTTGCCAAGGGCAGTTTGCTCTTAAGACGGCAGCTGTAGCTGAAATTTATCTCTGCTGTTTGTAAATAAAAATAAATTTTAAAAGAATTTAGAGTTCTTGGAGTGAATTTAGGAATAGGAAGCATGAAGCCTTACATATTTCATGCAATTATGATTATGCTAATTATAACAACATAAATGTCACAATCTTGTTGTAAATGTTAAGTTCAAAGTGTGTTAGTTATAAGTATGAACCGCTAGGATCAGAAGATTCAGTTTATTAAATGTGAGTTGTAGAGTGCATAATGTGACCTTTTAGCACCTCTCACTACTGGTTACTGAGGAAAAGCTAAAGAAGTTTTACTGTTCAGAACCTACAGTGAATTTACAGTTTGAATTAAAGTATTTTTCACATCTATAAAACTATATTCATCACATCTGCAAGTGGAACTTCCTTAATAAATATTGCAAAATTAGCTTGGAATTCCCCAATGCAAAGTTGGACTACTTAGAAAACTGCATTTTTTGAAGTCTGATGCATGCTGGATTTCATTTATTTACCCAGCTTTTAGCTTTCTAATGGTAGTATATGAAAAGGTTGCTTTTTGCTTGTGCTTAAAAAAGCCAAAGTTATGGATACCAAAAAAATCACCTTGCTAATACCATGCAAGTTACATGCTACTGCTTGTTTTTTTTTTTTTTTTTATTTAATTAAAAATAGACAAAATACATACTGGAGATAAAAGCTGTTGACATTTCATCCATTCTGTGCTAATTCAGTACTGACATTTGCTACCTTGTCAGCAAAATCTTGAAGATTCTTCAGTGTTGCAGTCCGTGGTGGTGGCGGACGCAGCCTTCCCCGAGAGCGTCTTGCAGCAGTGGTGGGAGCCATGAGAGCACCAGCACACACTGACACACACACATGAATAAACTCAACAGGATGACACACGAGGGTCCAGGCATGCAGTTCCAACATGCTTTATTTATTTCAGGCCATGCTGAAGGCATCCAAGGGCCAAAGACGGGAGGCAAAGGAGAGTTTGGGATATAAGCACAGAAAAAGAGGGGGCAGAGGAGAGCATCAGGGATCCAATGAACTGAGGGCTCAGGAGTGGTATGCAGGGAATGCCAGGGTGGATAGGTGGAGACAAAAACCACTGGGAAGACAGGGAAGGGAGAGCTAACAGAACATGAACATATAAGGGTAAAATGGGTAAGGAAGGCCAATGGGCTGATGGAGAGGACAGAACTGAGACAAATTAACATAGTGCTAATGTTGATTAGCAGAGCACCTTGGGGGAAGCTTCTTTCCTTGCCCTGAGCTGTGAGGAATGCCCAGAGCCTAAGGTGTATCTATCCAGAAAATTGCTATTGTATTTTCCCAGTAGGGTCACAGGCCTCCACACTTCAGAGTCTTAAGAAAAAAAAAGACAAAAAAAGCCCAACATAATTTCAACAGTTTATGCCCCTATGCCCCATGGTTTGTCTTTGCAGAGGACAGTTGTATATGTATTCTCATTATATCAGTCCCGTTTTCTTCTTCAAGGATTAAAACTGTGTCTACAGCTTTTGTGTTTCAGTCAATATATCTAAAAATACAGTGTTTGGGAGCCTGTTGAAAAAGCTTGTCAGTTTAACTGGTATTTTTGAAAGTAGCTGTAATCAGTATTTTTGATATAACTAATTCTTATTTGCTGTTTAGTTTTGTGTTATAGCTAGTGCTTATTCTTTTCCTGAAACCTTTTTGCCTAAATGACTGTTTATAAGTCTCTTAATTATCTTAGTGATGTATACATACTTGAGACTTATACCTCATGAGCAGCAAACTATGTGAATTACTTACAGCTACCTCCATCATTGAGTATTCCAAATTTAATTATACAACTTTCCTTTCTGGCACCATAGCAGTACAGATGAAGGATTTCTTCACTGAAGTGTTAAGCTCAGCTGCCTTATGGCAGGTAGAAAACTATTCCTTAAACAGCAATTTATTGCCTCCTGTCTACATACATGGTTCTTGTTCAGCCTGCCAATAGTATTTGAAAACTTAGGGGTCTTTGAAAAGTTTAATCCTTCCTGGAAATCAGATTACTGGAAGGTATCTGTAGAAGACTGCAATAGGCGATATTGTTAGTTTCATGCCATTGATTTCTGTTTCCTGTTAAAAAGATTAGTGAAAATAACCTGTATTTTGGATAAATATTTGTAAATTTCTAGATAAATTAACTATTTTCTGGGTAAGTAACTATTTTACATGAGCCTTACTTTTTAAGTCTCTCAACTAAGCTTCCTCAACTGTCTTGGCATTTAAAGTTGGCTCCTGCTGTAGGTAAATTACCTGTAGAATAATTTTCTGCCTTTTTCTATTATAAGCAGACAATTAAAGTGTTGTTAACCTCATCTCTCTCTTCTCACACAAGAGTTCCAAGCGAGAGTGGAAGCCTCTGGAAGACCACAGCTGCACAGATGTACCATGGCTGTTCTTATTCATCCTCTTCTGCATAGGAATGGTAAATGAAACTCAGATGATTTTGTAAATGTTATATTGTTAAAGAGTTTGCATTCATAAGAAAGGAATATTAAAACCTGTCAGTAGCTTAATCACTGGCAAAAATCAGGATATGTTTACATGGGAAGCATCAGCTGTAGAACAGAAATGGGTACATATCCAAGGTGGGGATCCATAATTTATTGTTGGTGCCAATTCTTGCTCCAGCTTCTCTTCATCTGAAACTGTGGTCTCAGTGGTAGGTGGTTTTTCAGCGAGGTGAATTATCACTTGCTCAAGTTCTTTATGCATGTCCCAGAAATGAGAACTGGGAGTCTGGTAAGCAATTCTGTGAATCACAGTAAACTTTTTTGTGAGAAACAAAAATTCTGACTATCAAAGAGTTAACTGAGCTTTTGTTTATTTGTTAATTTATTTTTATTGTATACTTAGTAGAAGCAGTTATTGTTAAAAAAAACATATTACTAATAAGATCTTTCTTCCAAAGTTTTAACAGTTTTGTCCTCTGTCATCACCTTTTTCAAGTCAGCCTCAGAACACTCTACACTTTTTATAAAAGCCCAAACCTCTAAAACCTGCAGATTAATGTAGAAGTACACTTTCCACCTGGTTTTGTTTCATGGACCTATGTTTGCCACTCTTCATAAACAGAGAATGTCCATTGCTGTTTCGTACTGCTGTGTTGCAAGCACGTGTCCTCAGGGAGGTTTGGGACTTAATATGCTCTTAGATTTCTTTTTGGCTCTCCCTCAGGCTCTGGTGTTAGGAATAATTCCACTGAAAAATTTCTTCTACTTTCCCCAGGGTGTTTTTCAATGGTTGGGCTTAAAATGTAAAAGTTAAATTGATTATTTAGAATCATATAAATTACGTTGTCACTGTAATGTGAATATCTTAAAATTGCAAAAAGCACAGTGCTTCCTGAAACAGCTAGCTCTCTTTTGTATTTGGTTTCTTTTCTGTTTTTGTTGATGTTCCCTGATTATTTGGCTATACTTACCTGTTCCCCCAATTATGAATTCGTTTTCTTGCATGAGTGTCCCAAATTTTCCTGTCTGAGCAATGTAATATACTGACTGGGTCACATAGTACTGTTCTAGGAGACTTCACTTGCAAGGTGAACCACCCACATTTTCACTGTTCCTTGCCAATGTCATTACCTGTTGTCATCATTTCATCTGGTCTTGCCACTGCCATCTGCACTTGTCTCAGCTGTTTATTGCACTACCACATCTCAAATATTAGTCTGTCTCACATGTAAAATCAGTTCCTTGGTGGTACTGGAGTGAGCTGATTGTTCATTTCTCCCTGTCTGTAGTTTGCTAATGAAGCTTTTGGGCTAATCTCTTGTTTGCATGATCATTGCCTTAATCTAGGTTTTGCTTGTGAAAGATCTCTGAAAGTTCACAGCAAGACCTGCCTAGTTACAGTATTTCCCACATTACTTGGATGGTCTGAACCATCATGCTTTGCATCTCTTTCTTTCCTGCATTTAAAACCAGCGTCTGAAACCATAGTGGCCTTGACCCGGTCACTTCCTTTAAGAGGATTTCCTTAAAAGAAACTTGTGTTAGACAGGCCTCTTCATTCCAGCTCATCTTTGAAAGTACTTAATTTAAAGCAAAGAAAAAAAAAATCTGAAAGCAAGAAAATCTGGATTGTGTGGAATTGTCTAAGATGCATAGCAACCTATCTCTGCTTGTAGATCTCCTTCACTGCCTGCCCTTGTGTACTTGCTGACCTCTCCCTTCTGCTTCATGCCCACTTGCTGATAGTATGGCTTTTAAATAAACCACATACAGGAGTCATAACTCTGCTTGTATCCAGTATTAGATGTCTGAATCCCCTTTTAGCTTGCATTCAGTTTTATTATTGCACAACAGTTCTCTGATAGTCCTTGTCTTTCCCTTTCCAGTCTGAAAGAATTTTTAGACAACCTCTGCTTAGAAATAAATTAATAAAACTGACTTTTCCCATCTTTCAGAGTATTGGTAAACTGTGGGGTTTTTGTATTCTTCCAGGGTTTTATCTGTGGCTTTTCAATAGCTACAGGAGCAGCTGCAAGACTGCTTTCGGGATATGACAGTTATGGAAATATTTGTGGACAGAAAAATGTCAAGGTGGAGGGAATAGTCAACAGTGGTCTGGACCTCACACACAAGAAGTAAGTATGTAATACAATTTTTGCATTCTCTAAACCAGGAAAGGTAAAACCTTTCTTTCTTTGAAAGTGGTTTTAAATAAGGTGGCAGAAGGGATGTGTTGACTCATTCCTACTTGTCCTTTGAAATTTTTCTCACTTAGAGGGCAGCAATCTTTTGTAATAAATAGCAATGTTAGACTATATGTTGGCAGATATGCGATATGAATGCAGCTAAGACATTGAGAAATTACTTTTTCTCAGTATCCATTTCATGTAGGGTATTGTACTAGGCTGATGAAAAATCGTGTTTGTTAGAGTTTTAGGTGTGACGAGTATTCTCAGATTTGGGAGCAGGCTTTGATACCAGTGTTTGCTTTTGATGTCTGCTTGGTTTCTGCCACTAGGTGTAAGGGGAGATGAGATATATCTGGCACATGAGAATAAGACTTTAAAATTTAAACTGTAGGTGTAATGTATGTATGTGACTTTTGGAGAACATGCACAAAACTTTAGAGGTGCACACAGCTTTAATTAAACAGTGTCCTGTTAAAACTCATACTCAAAGTTCAGGTTCTTCCTATCTGTTTTACAGGAAGACATCACACTGCTCTCAGACAAGCTCAGAGTCCTTTTGTACAATTTGGGAAACTTAAGGAAGTAAACTGTTTAGCTTAGTACAGTGATATTAACAAAACAAAAAAAGTGTTCTTTTTACCATCAATTACTTCAAGGAGCTAAAAAGTTACTAAATTTTGAGTATGATAGCCTTTTGATTCACACTTTCAGACTAACAGAAGATTGATGGTTTTCCAAAGTTACTTTGGAAGGTTGCTGAGATCTGCTAATTTTGAGTTGCTATTCTAAAGACTCCTAAGTATCTCATTTAAGATTTAATGTAGATACATAAGTGGCGATTACCAGAAAGATTTGAGATAAATAAAATGCCTGGAACTTTTTACTGCTATCTTTTGTCAGTAAAATAATTTCTTAATCTAATCTGATCTTTCAAGAAGGTTGAAAGATTTAAAGTTTATACAGCAGAATTTTCCTATTTTTTACAGAAACATTTTAGCACTTTCTAAACTCACGTGTATACAGTACAGAATTGTGATTCTAGTGCTCTGAGAAAAAATGCAAATTTTAAAATTGTAATTTTAAGCTTACCCTTAGGAGGAAATGGTGTCTGAGTTCATGTGAAGGTAGAGAAATTCAGACACCTTATTGAAATGTAATAATTAATATTGTGATAGTCTTCTACATGTGACGTGTCAGATCATCACGTGGGGAAACATCTACCACTAAGTAAATTCATCTTTTAAATGCAAGTTCAAAAAACAGCAGGTTAAAAAAGAGACTGTTTTAAACACAGCTATTTGACAGAGCCTCTTGTTTGTCAAGATGTCTTAATGAGTTTCAAAAGAATTACACTTTTCTAGTAAGTATGTTATAGCTTGAGGCATGATCTAAGCAAATTAATAGATACACACATATGAGTTAGAATCATCTCTATTTGGTTAAGAGCAAACCCTCTGAGGCAGATTATTCTTTAACTGTTCACATGAAGTGCCTGGTATAGTCCAAGGTAATCCAGTTTTGGAAGCGGTTGGTTCTTATATAAGTAAGTGATCCTTCCTTCTCTCACACCTCATAGTTTCTTCTGAAAAATTGCCAAGAAAATTAAAAAAAGCTATCTGCTTTGCATCTTTCTCTAGCAGATGGCGTTCCTACAGTGTCTGAGGTGGAGTTCATGGGAGTATTTAATGCTATTTTTATAGGAGCATTTAGCAGACAGACGGTAAAAATAAACTCTTCTTTGTGCCTGTACATTTCAGTTTGTGTAGAGAAAGAAAAGACTTGAAAGCTCCACAAATGGGGCTCTGGAAACATGAAGTTATTCTCATTTCATTTTGCTTCCAGGGTAATACCATTTTCATTTCCTAGTCCAAGGACTGAAAAGTTAAATCATCTGTAAAAGTAACATTTTCTTCCTTGTATATGACAGCAACCCATAAGCACTGTAATGTGGAAGTGAAATTGATGTGGTCTGTGTGGATATGGAAATCTGGTGGTAAAGGTAAAGAGCAAAGTTCTCACAGGGATGTGATTTGCTCTGTGTACATCAGATATGCTGAAACCAGTGAGATGAAGTATTGGGAAGGAGGATTTTACAGCCTGGTCTCATGAATGAAGAGTGGATCAGTCATCCTTTTGTTTTTACAAAGTAACCACAACACACTTTAATAGTCTGTTTTCTACAGTCAGACACAAGATAATACTCTAGATCTGTCAATTAATTCTAATTAAACCTATTTGCTTCAAATAAGCTCCTTGCTTTACAAGTTCTGGTAGTTATAAAGAGTTTAAAAAATGACCTTTTATTTGCAAATAAATGGTAATCACAGCAGTCAAATGCAGGTCTCTGAAATGCCAGTTCACTCTGGTTTTTTATCACCAGTATGTTGTTATTTGGACAAAATTCATTTTGTGCTGTCTACTCAAGTACTAGGAGATGTGTGTATGATGCTATGGAGAATAGTTAGGGTGGCATTATGCCTGAGCACATGCCTTTGACCCCAGGAAATGCTTTAACTTTGGGTAATGGGAAAACCCAGGTTTTCAGGATGGTTTGCAGCATGTACACAGAGAATTCGGTTGAGTGAAACTATATATGCCCTTCTGATGAAGAAATTTTTGACACTGGACTCTCATCTCCATTAGATGGCACAGATCAATTATGATATCTGGTAGCTCAGTCTATGTGTCTTGAAAAAAGAGAGCCTGAACAAAGAAATACCTGGGGCATTATTAATACAAGCACTATCAGGACCTCGAGTGGTTTTGCTTTTCATTGGTTTGCTGTTGTGTTGCCAAGTGGTTGCCATGTGGTCATCTTCATACCCTCTTAGGCTGTTATTTTGGGGAGTTTTACTTGGCTCTCTACTCCATGTTGCAGTATGGACATTACAGCTCCTGTAACATGCCTCATGGGCTGTGCACTCTAGTTGTTAATTTTTAGGTAATATTTAAGATGCTAGTTTTGTCTAAGTGTTATTAATGTTCAGATTAGTAGCTCTCAATTTCACCTTATTGCTCTACAGCTACCTGAAAGGATGGAGGAATCAAGCTCCTCCCCCAGATAACAAGTGACAGGATGAGAGGAAATGGTCTCACACTGTGCAAAGGGAGATTTAGATTGGACATTATGACAATTATTTTTTGCCAAAAAGGTTATCAAGCCTGGGGAAGCGGTTGAGTCACCATTCCTGGAGGTATTTAGAAGATTATTTATTTATTTAGTATCAATTTCGCGCTTAGGGATGTTGTTTAGTGGTGGACTTGGCAGTACGTTTACTATTAGAATAGATGATATGAAGGTTCTTTTTCAACAAAAATGATTCTATCATTCTAATTCTGCCTCGTTTTACTTTTAAGCCATTCCCCCTTGTCCTTTCACCATTTGCCTGTGTGAGAAGTCACTTTGTCTTTTACAGAAGCCCCCTATAAATACTGGAAAGCTGCCAAAAGGTGTCTCCACAGCCTTCTTTCTCTTCTCCCAGATGAACAGTGCCAACTCTCTTAGCACATCCTTCGTATGCTCCAGCCCTCTCATCATTTTCATGTGTCTTCTCTGCACTGTTCATGTCTTTCCTATACTTTCCTCTGAGCATCCTGGAGCTGGGTGCAGCTGGGGGACCCCTCTGAGGGCAGAGTAAAACTTGCCTTGTTAGTCATGCTTCTTTTTATGAAACCCTGGATATAGCTGGCTTTCTGGGTTGCAGATGTACATTGCTAGGTCATGTCCAATTTTTCATGCACTGGTACCTCCAAGTCCTTCTCTACAGGGCTGTTACTTCATAAAGATGCAGAAACGTGAATATGTTGTAAATCTACTATATTGATTTTCAAATACATATTTTCATTTGCAGTGTTGAAGCATCTCTAACAATATGATTACTTAGTTTATGTCCGTCTTTCTATTGCTGCTATGTTACTTCCTTATTAGAAAACTAGTCTATTGCTGATTGTAAATATCTGAAATTGCAGCACAAAGTGTGTAATGATATTCTAGAGAGAAACAAAACCTGTCCTGTGGTGACACAGTATGAAATTTTCTGCAGTAAAATTACTTATTTTCTACACGTAAGCTTTATAAACAAAAAAAATTAACTTCTGTAATGCTGGTTCCTCGAATTTTGGTTCTTGTTTTAACTGCAATGAAGTAAAAATAATCTTACTTATCTTACTTGTGTCTTCCAAGGACACAGATTTGATAGCCTGAAGTTTTCTGTGCAGCTCTTTTCAGTGCACTATACAATGCAGTGTTTGAATTACATGTGGTGTTTAAGGCTAAGCCCACACTTCTGTCAAAACTGTATCGGATGCTGTAATTGTATTGTATTTCTAAACTTCCAGGTTTGAGTTAGAATACTAGCATTTATTTTACAAAATATTTTGGCGATTAAAATGATAGCTTGACCCTTGAATTGAAATCATGATAGAAGTGGGAGGAGTTTTAGCTTGCTAATAGTGACATTCCTGATTTGGTTTCCTTAGCAAAATTCAGAAGACTCTCTTGTCCAGGAACTGGAGTCCAGTCCTACAGCTCCCAGAGCCCAGGGTCTCTTCCTAGGCTGAGGGATAGACAGTAACATATGGGACATTGACATAGCTGGTTACACAGACTGGCAGTGATAAGGTGTGGCTTCAACAGTGGTACTCACAAGCACAGCCATGTCCCCTCCTCCTCACAGTGACAGAAGAAGGACTGACAGTGGCAGAAGGTCACTAGGCACACACATGACACTTTCCAGGTCCACAAGCTCACATACATTTGCAGATTCTCCAAGTACTAGCAGAGCACCTTATCCACCTTATGGGTTCCCCCTTCTCATCAGCTGATCCAGTTTAGTGCTAAGTACCAAACACTCAAGCGCTCATTCCACAAGTATCCCAGACCCACAGTTTCCCTCAAATAACACCACAGACCCTCTGCCCACTCAACACTTCTTACCTAGAGCTCCCTACTCACCATCTCATATGGCTTGGAGTTTGCTAGTGAGTTATACCAGAAGCTGAACTCAGTGATCCTTGTGGGTCCCTTCCAACTCAGGATTTTCTATGATTCTATAATTTGCATAGATTGTTCTGGAGAAGGTAGAGGTGCTCAGCCCCATCAAAAGCCAGCACCACAAGGGCAGTGACCACCTGTGCTGAGTCTATCACCTCTGTAGCTGCTTTTTTTGTGGGCACACATTGTTCCTACCCTGGCAGCTCATTGCCAAGACACCTTCCCTGCCCCTGGCACTGAGACCCCACCCACTTCAGTAGCTAAAACCACAGTTCTGTGGCACCTAAAACTCCTGGTCTGATTCCAGCTGCTGGCACCAAATCCCTCACACCTATGTCAGTCCCCACAGTAGCTGCCACTTAATCCCTGCAGCACTTGCAGCATCCATGTTCATGGGATAGAGACTAGAATTATGCAGAGAGAGAGTTAAAAGCTTTACTAATAGGACAAAATAGACTGCAGTGATCAGGTGCTGAGGTTAGATAATGTACTGACCAACATTAACTTGCATGTGACTTTTACCTTTTACACCCCTGTCTGCTACCCTGTCCTGTGCATGTTCCCTTAGCTGCTGGCAGGGTCCTACTGACCCCTCCTACATTCTGCACTTACGAGTTTGCATCCCTATCAATCACAAAGTCCCTGTCTGCATTTTCTTGATAGCCCATCTATTACTGTAATTGACTGGGTTTCTTTCTGATTATAGTTTTTATTAATATTAAGTAGATATGTTTTCTGTCTATTGCCTTGTCTCAATTTGGCAAAGTCCTTAGCCAGGTATTCTTACTGAGAAATCACCATTTTAATAACCATTTTCATAATCCACATATCCTTACCAATTAGTGAGACTGACCAGATTTGTTCCCATCCTAGCCTCCCTTGCCATCTCAGTCAAGTTTGACTCTGTATGTTCTAATTGTAGCTCTTTTGACCAGATACCGTCAGAGAAGTAGACACTCTCCTGCCATGTACCCTTATTGTATGGGATAACAACTGGAGGAACTTCAATTAAAACTGCTATTGTATGTCCTGGTATCAACTCAAGAGTATTTTCTTTGAAATTAAGGGAAAACTGAAATTAAGGGGAAAATTGCTCGCTTACAGTTACTTTTATTGTGTGTGCGTGACAGAATTTTCATGTTTACACTTCTTTTTCAGACTTCAGTGGTATATGAAGTCCTGAGATGTGTAATGTGTAAGAAGTAAAAAATAAATAGGGATGGATGATTTCACTGAGATGCTGACAAAAAAAAGCGTGTTTTAAGAATGCAAGTAATCTATTACCATGTTACAGTTATTTAGATGACATAAGTTTTGATGGACTCCTAAGAAAGGGTGTACTATGTAGTAATCATTCTTGTACACTGACACTTGGTAATAAGAAAGTAGACAGCAATTAGCATATAGACTGAAGGTGCTCAGGGAGGACCTAAATGCTTTCTAGGAGCAAAAGGGATGTTTACTGGTTACAGAATGAATTCCCATCATGAGGACTACACAAAATAGAAATGACATTTTATATGGCAGATTTCTGGTGTTTTCATATGATGATGTTAGGTAATATGAAGGGAATATTTCAATGCATTGTACATTGGCAGAATTGTAGGGATTTAAGAATTGTTCAACTTTCAAAGAGAAGAACATCCCTATTATACCATCAATGGAAATTCTGTAGGCTTAGTGTTTGTCATAAAGCATATATAGCCAGGAGATGTTAGTTAAGAATCTATAATATATACTTCATACATTAGATTTTTAAATGACATTCAGTGTGAAAAGTTTGCAAGTGGAATATCTTTAAACTACTGCACTAAAACATTAGATAATTCTACTTAAAGTATCCGAAGGCAGTTTATTTCTAAGTAAATACTAAAATTATCAGTACAGGCATGACATGGAAAATCAATCAATGCTAAAAATCTGTTGTTGATTACTAGCATTATGTGTATTCATTAATATAGCTGTGGACCTTTTGTTTTTGCAGAATAAGAGTGACTTTATTTGGTTTTTGGGTCTTTTTGGAAAAAAAATGCAATTCTCTAAGTCAAGTTTAAGGTCAGAGTAAGCATTTATCAATGTTTGGATTCATATCTGCAAAGAGGCATGGTAGGACTGCTGCTGTTTTTATGAGTAATGCCATTTGAATGGATTTGAATCAGATAGAGTTAAATATACTTTTTGTGCGACCCAGAGTATATAAATGCCAATACATTTGTTGTGCATATGTTGAATACATAAATTCTTTTGATCCACACAGTTACAATAATATAAAATTTCATATGTTTCTGGGTAGACTGAACCACTCAGTCTTGACTGAATCCCATAGTTTTTAATTTTGTTCAGTGTAATTGTTAATTAATATAGAAGTAATTTACCTTTTTTCCTTTCGTAGGTATGTATTCTTCTTGGATCCATGCAACATTGATCTAGTACATCAGAAGATTAAGTCTATTGCCTTGTGTGTATCAGCTTGCCCAAGGAAAGAATTGAAAACTCTGGCTGATATACAGAAATTTGCAGAAACTAATGGTATGAAAAAAGTTTCATATTTTCGCAGGATCTGAAAAAAGACTCATGCATTAGCTGAGCTAAAAATGAAGTATGAATGGAAATAATGTGCTCTGTTCATTAAACTAAAACATTACATAGCATGATAGGCAGTTTGGAAAGATTATTTTCCAAAACAGAAGTACAAAGTGTAATAAGCATTTGAGGGAATGTAAGTAACCAACTATAACTGAATATAAGTAACCAGCATTTGGACATACAAAATAAAGTAAAGATATAAAATTAATTTGAGGAAATATTAGCAGTTTTTAGCTATTCAAATGGAAACATTTTCTTAATGTGTGGGAACTACTGTGAGGCATCACAGCTTTCACAGAGCTGCACAAACAGCTTCCTCATGTTATCTGTGCAATGTTGTCAATTACAAATGAAAATAATCAATATCTATACTTGCATTCTTTACTTCTCCGAGCATGCTGTGTTTTTCTTAACTAATGCAGGCCAGTTCTTTGTTAGTATGAAGTGAAGGTCATTTGTGGTGGAATTTGTCTCTTGAAGCAATGGAATTCAGCCATGTCTTTCTTTATCACAAACATTGTTTATATAAGTCAAATCTCTTATTAATTGTGTCTGACATATGTTCAGTATAACTATCTCTTAAAGTACAACAAAACTACTTATCTTGAAGGATGCTATGCTATATTTTGTACTCATGAGTCATTAGAACTAATTCTATTTTCCTTAGGGCTTTAGATTTTAAAATCTAAAGATACCTTAAAAAAATTGATATGACAGGCAATCTTTTTGGTTTCCAGAAGTTTGGTCAAAAATATGAAAACTGGTGCTGGAGCAGGACAAATTACTAATGAGTTCAATTTCTAATTTTCATTATATATTTGGTTTGTCAAAGACGGGTATTAGACTAAACTGAAATTTCCTTTTATAGAGAAAGCCTGTGCGTTGCACCAGGACTGAAATTGCACCATTCAGAGAAATATTGTCATCCTCATGGTTATATTTCTGCTTAAATTTTTACCAGAAATTCCAAAAAATGATGTTTTGCAGCAAATGAACAGCTTAATTGTTGATTATTTTAACAGTTGCATTTATATAGTAATAAAGTTCAAGTGTGATTCAGCCTTTTAGCAGAGCAAGAACAGTGAATTAGTAGCTAAACTGTAATGCTCAGTAAGCAGAATAATTTTTCTGAGATCCACTTTGTAACTGTGATAGTGGATTTAAATTAATTAATACTAGGATTAGGTTTGGCAGTTAGTTTTAAGTGACCATTGACTCCACTGTAAAAATAGTAATAATGAAATCTGAGGACTTTGAACATGACTGCAAAGAACTTAATTTCAGTTTCTGTGTTTGTGATAATGTATAGTTGGAAAATAGAGTTCAACTGTCAAGTGCTGAAGAAGGAGGGCAAATTTGTTTGTGATAATTGGTACTGAATTTTCTCAGGCTCACAACTTCTAACATTTGAAAAAAAATCATCTCATAATGTTTTAAATGTACAGGTAAAGAATGCAGTCAGTTCTTAGTTTTGCTCTGTTGAGCCTTTCTGAAAGCTTTAACCCTTCCTGCATCCTGAAAATAGGAATTGTCTGGAGACAGACTGTGTAGGTTGTGGCATTTGCTTTTGTAGAGTTGGCCATTTTCATCTGGCTCAAATGCCATCCCTGAAATCACTTTACTTGTCCATGCACCTTGAAATTCTTAAAGGAATTACGGCTTAAGAGCCCTTCCTCAACCCAAAGAAATTACCTGTTGTGCTTCACTTGCCCATCAAGAGGTGGTGCGGTAAGTTCAAATAAATGTGTTTTTTAATCCAAACATCTTTTTCAAGAGCTTGGACATGTAAAACACATTAAAACATCTTTGTATTGACTAGTGATTTTATCAGTACCACATATGAATTTGCAGCTAGCTTAGTATAGTATTTTTACTAAAGTGAGGCATGCACTTGATTGCCTCAACACAAAAGAACACAGCACCATTTCAGGGCAGTAACTTCATTCCCACCCCTACCTCACTTGTCCTCTCACAGCCAGGTCCTGCAGTTGCAGTACCTTCCCACCAAGAAAGAGAAGAAGCCCATCCCTTGCAAAGCCAAGCTGATTTTAATAAAAGAATAAAGCATGTGCTTTTAATCTTGTCACAATAATTGATACCCAGAAAACTGGAACCAGCTGTGACCTTTTGCAAGAGAGGAAAAAGGGAAAGAGAAAGCTGGGTACTTGGCCACTCAGATCTTTGACTTGTACAGAGGTGCAAGCTGTAAAGTACAGAAATATTCTGGAGCAACTCCTGGAAGTGGCACAGGAAGGTGCAATGTTACCTGAGAAATGTTGCAATGCTGTTCTCAAACAGCCATGCTAGAACTTGAGTTTGTAGAGCAAACAGTTGGGCACAACTGTGAATGTTATATGTTGTGAACTGACTGCTGTTGCTCCCCCCAGGATTTTCTCACCCAGTAGAACACCCCAGGCACCGAATACTTGTGATTCAATGTTTTTGTTGGTCTTCACCCTTAAAAAATTATGTATTTTGAGTAGTGTGACTGAAAGCTGTTTTTCCCAGAAACCAAATTGACGCTTCAAAACTAAATGTCCGTGAAATACTGCAGTGATGTTTTCAAGGACTTGCTAAAGCATTTTGAAATATCCTTGAAGATATAATTCATCTATGACTGTGCCAAATGAATAATGAAATGTCATTATTAAAGAGAAACACTAGACAGGTCGCTATAATGTCTTGTTGTGTTTAATTCAATGATAACTGTAGTGTCTACTCAGTGTGAGAACTACTATTCCTATTCATTTTTTAAATTACTGGATGCATATTTAGGAACCTAAAATGAAATTTTTATTTTGCTGCATCTTGGCAGGCATTTCTGTTGTCAGAATTCTGTACCTAGACCAGCCTAGTGGTCTGTGTGGACATAGAGCCAGAGTGAATGCTTCATTAAGTTTGCTATAGGGACTGACCTGAAAGAGATCAATAAAGGAAATCAGTCTGCTAAGTCAGAGCAGGTGATATCTCTGAGCTATTAGAAAGAACCACAGGGGAAACAAAAAAGATTTTTCTTTTGTCTGAAGATAATGACATATTCATGTGTAGTAAAGGACATCTTTGTAGTTCTTTTTGGCACTTTGCTTTAGAAATAGCTGTTACATGGGTCACTGTGAGCTTCTGACATTTTTTGTCTGCTTGTCTGCTCTTGTTTCCCCTGCCTTTGTTTTCAGTGAAAGTATGCTGTTTAAAGCATAATCCCTCGCTCATGATTTTCTTGAAGTACAATGTTCTGTGTTAGTTACAGATACCTTATGTTTAAAGCAATTCTGCACCCACAGATCTTTGGAAGCCTGGGTATGTTAATTTTGAGTGTCTTTTTTTTAATTGACTAGAGTAAAAGTACATTATGAGCAGTTTTGAGGTACAGAGTCATCTATTAGTACTCTATCTTGTTACCTGACCTGTCCATCAGGTTTGTGTTCTATTGGAAATGTATCCTCTAGTTAGAATGAAATTGTTTTCTCAACAGAAAGTGACAGCATGTGGAGTCCTCCAATAATTCTGTGTTGTGTTATTGATTACATTAATAAACCATTTGGAAAAAGGAAGAAACAGTGAGGCTATAAATCTTCTTGTGACTACTGAATTATTTAGAATCATATAGAAAAACAAGATGCTATTGATTGCAGTGGAATAAAATGTCAAATCTAAAGAAATGCCCCCAGAATGAAGGGGTGAGAACCTATTGTTATGCATGCAGTGTTATAATTTAAAGTGGTTATTGATACTTGGAGGAGAGATTGTGAAACTGCTGAGGATCACAGGAGGATAAAGTTGGAGGCATAGTATTGTCTGAAAGTGTAATTTTTATGAATTGTGAAGAGGGACTGCATTTTGTGTAAACTCCTGCTATTCTGGCATCATAAAGGCTGTGTTCTAATCCTTTCTTTAATTTTTTTTTTACCTTGTACACAAACACACATATGTGTATTCTCAGCATGTATTCATCTACAGAGTGTGTATATAGATAGGTAGATAGATACTGAGAAGGGAAACAAAGATTATCATTATAAAACGCCAGTGATTTCCTCTGTCTGTAAAAGAGAAAACTATCAGGAAGAGTAGGTCATTAAAAGCAGGAATATCTTGGAGAAGGTTGAAAAATTATTGTTCTTCATCTCATAACCTGAGTAATATTAAACTAGAGATCAAAATGAAATCACTAAGCATCAGAGACAGATTTTTCTGCACACAAGTTAGGGTTAATTGCCGTGAGGATGTTTTAAAAACAAAAAAGATAAGCTCTTAGAATAGAAAATATTTGGGTATTTAGTTAACACTGAAGAATATCTTTAAGTTTTAAGTTGTGCAGAGCTAAAGATACAGTAGGAGAAACATCTGCTACTCGACTAGATGGATTAATGTGATTCCAGAGTAGCTGGGTTTATTTAACATTGGAAGAAATACAAGTGGAGGAATAGATAAATTAATAGTTTTCAATTCTCTGTACTGCTAATAAGAATAGGAGAAAGTGAAGAGTATTGTCTTATTTTTTTTAATTACAAGTCAGAATACATATATATATATATATAGATAGATACATTAATTCTGAATCTAGGATTTTCTTCTATACTCTTACTTGTAATAGCATGTTGTAATATCTATCACAGTAGTTCTCTTTGTGGTCTTCAATTCAAGAGACTTTTGAAGATCTAACTAATGGGGATTTGTGATGGATCTTTCTTGGAATTTTCTTGCAGGAATTGGAGAATGCTTACTTCCACTTCAGTCCCATTTTTATTTATAAAAGTACGTGTAATTTCTCCTGCCCTTTGATGCTCATTGTTTTAAAGAAGTGGTGATACGTCTCTCTGCAACAACTAGAACTAAAGATACACATAAACCTCACTTTTCTTCTTTAAAATGCACACTGTGCTTCTGGAAGACAGCAGTGGGTAGATGAAGAGAATGAAGCTTTTTTTTTCTAGAACAATTCTGTC